TGTGTGTGTGTGTGTGTGTGTGTGTGTGTGTGTTTGCATATACTGCCATACTTTTAGCGAGTAATTGAAAAAATAATTAATAGCTGCAGGAATGAATGAGGATAGATGGAATAGAAATTTAATTAATTCCTCAGCAGTAGTGGCAGTAGCAACAGGCCTTGCAGCAATTAAATCATTTGATGTGTTTTAATGTTGGATGCTTTTTGCAATTGTCATTTCTTATAATTATCAATAAAAAATATTCTCTCTCTCATCATCTCATCACTTTTATGCAAAATATTCACACCATCAAAATTATTGTTTTAATATTACCTTTTTAAATTAGCATTGTATTGCTAAAATATTATATGCTGTATTATGTTATATGCTAAATTTATGGAAGAAAAAATAAAGATTACATGGAAATCTCCGAATAACCCATTCCGCCTTGTTACCTTGTTTACAAATAGATATGAAAATTTTCGTATGACCTTTTTTGCCTGATTACATAAGGATGCTTAAATAAACATGAAAATTTCCATATGATCATCTATTCCATTTCTGTTGTCTCTGTCTCCAAGTATTATCATATTGAAAAAAAATTGCTTATGTCATATAAGATGTTGATTTAAAAAAAAAAAAAAAAATCAAAGTTACCATTTGTTGAGCGGTTACCATTACAATAAATGCCGATTAAAATCAAAAAAAACGAACAAATAAAACAAAACAAACAAAAGCAACTGATACCATCGAAAGGATTTTATAGAAATGCTATGCCTTTAAAGCGGTACATAAAACTGACATTTGAGAAAAATGCTATCACGAGAAGAGGAAAAGATGACATCACATGAAGTCGTCTGTGTGATATGAATAAAATTAACTTGAAAAAAGATGAAAAATGGATGAAATAAAGGCAAAATTGCATGTCATCATTAAGAGGCAGTTTGCGGTAAGTTTTTTTTTTCTCTAAATAAATGAAACATCAAAACGTGCTCATATTTTTCTTGAAAGTGCTTTTTGGAATAATTTTTAATCGGCTAAATTTTACTTTATACATCATTACTATTCTCTTTCCTCTCCTTCTCTCTCTTTCTCATGCATTTAATTATGCTATTTTGAAACCAACTAATTAATAATAATGGAAAATATTGTTCGATCGAATAATTTATTACTTGCTTTTAGAATATAACCCATCCAATAGAAGATATTGTTCATCTTTTCTCTGTTTAATCATTGTTATCATCTTTTATTTGTCATTTCAATAAATAAATATCAATTACTTTTGATATTTCTATCACTTTCGTAACTAATCGACTTGTTCCCTTATTATCTGTTATCTTTAACTGTATAATGATATAATCATTATCAACCCGAATTTCACCTATATACTGATATATTTATTATCAATTTAACACTCATTAAATCAAGCAACTGATATCAAAATATGTTATCTGGTTTATGTTATTATAATATTTTCACTTTTTCCATAGGATAATGTGATTTATAAATGAAAATATTAGAGTAAATTCTCTGATTAGTCCCTTTTTGCTTAATTTTCCTTTTAGCGGAGAAAGTTAAAATAAGTCGGTAAGAATATTCGAAAAAATATGAATTGTTTAAATATTGCTAAATTGTATATTCTTTATTGAAATTAATATTTAAAATAATAATCCTTACTGTTGCTTCATAATTAAAAGTTTACAGTTCCTTATTTTGATAGAGAATTAAATGAAAAATTTTTAGAAGAAACTAAAGAACAAATATGATAAAATATTACAAGTCGGAAATGATTAAAAATGATATGTAAATGCTGATCAATTCCGTTTAATTTCACTTTGCTATTTCAGATCAATTGAACGTAGAAAATGAATTAGTGATTTCTTTTTCGCTATCTTCTTTCTTTTAAAGCATACAGGCAACAATTCTATGGAAGTATTTACTTAGCTTGAAAGTTTGGGAGTAATTTTAGGATAAAATAAAAGGTTAATAATAGTAAGTATATTGAATAAAAATTGTTTAATAGGAATGAAATACCAAGCAACGCTGCTACAACACCTCCCTTTGCAGCATCCAACATCAGTGAATTCTTTTCATAGTATCGCCGACAACTACAAGTTTTTTTTTTTTGAATGAAACCTTTTAAATTTATCAAAAAATAGAAATTAGCATACAATCTTCAATTCAATCGTTTTTCGCCTTTCCAACCATTTCTATTTTCTTTTATTCAATCAGAAAATATTGTCATCTCATTAGAAATGAATTTCAATTGGACGGCTTTTTCAAAGTGACAAGAAGATGAAAGACTTACTGTATGGAATTATGAATGAATCCAATAATTGCTGGTAATATTTTTGCTAACAGAGCAACTCTAATCCACAAATAAGGCGATGAACATGATCTAATAATAAACTTTCGTTAGCTGTTAGTTAGCTTTCAAAGTGCAATAATAATGTTGCTTTTGATTTGATATAAAATATCGATATCCTTTGATATCATTCGTAATTTATAAAAGCTTCTTAAAGAGAATGACAAATTTATTTTAGTGCACTAGAAAAAAAAATTACTCTCATGTTAGAAAGGGATATTATTGACTTTTTATTTTTAAATTGAAGAAGGAGATAATGAAATTTATGAAAATGTAAATAATCTATCAGACAAACATAAATTCATCATCTTGCGCTTTAATTGTAAGTGTTAATACAGTTGCTGCTTCCGGACAAAATTTGGCGATATTATGTAGAAGAGCGTAAGTTGAACGTTCGCCGAATAGTCCAAGCAAACGGCGCTTTAAACCATCCAATAAACATTGCTCCACTGCTGCTGCAATATTTAAAATTATATTGAGCAAAACTGAAATTTTCATTTTCAAACCAAAAAAGAGCTTTTGAAGAGGAATTTTTTCTTTTCAAAAGTTTCTCCTTAAAAAATTTATGATGTTTGAAAATAAACTTAGTTTTGTTTTAAAAATCAAAATTAAAATTAATATTTGTTTAAGGCAGAATTGGAAATTATTTGAATTCTAAACTTTATTCATACCACATAATGATGTTACATATGTGCTTTTGGCATTAACCGCTTTTCGATTTACAGATTCTTCCATAATAATTTTTACCTAAAATCTTGACATTTCAATGAATACAAAGAGAATGATCAATGGTCAATGATTAGTGATCAATAATCAATGGCCAATGACCATATAAGTGAAGAAAAATAAGAGTTAATGTTAAAACTGTGTTTCACACTAAATTAAACTGAATTTTACCTCTTTTTTTAGTGTATTCAACAAATGTTCTTTACGACGAGTTGCTTCATTTGGTACTTCAATATCAAAATTAAGCATTACAATGCTACCACTTCGTGCTTCCAACTCAATTCCACTCTCACTAACTTTACGATTGGTAAGAATGGAATCATCGGAACGTGTCATGAACGTTTCCCAAGCGCTTGAATGTCGCACCACATGCGCCATTCTGTTCATCCTTCTCTTCAATGTCAAATTTAACTGAATTCTATGGGTAAAATGAATTTAAAATTTAATTTTTCAATTCAATTTCTCTAACTATACAGGAAAAAAATAAATTCATTAAAAAATAAGTGGAAAAACAGAATTCCTCAATAATAATAATTATTATCAGTTTCTATTGATAATAATAATAATTATTATTGAGGAATGTTCCACAAACGTATCTTCTAAAGAACGTATGGTTAAGCGAAAATGAATAAAATCAATATCTGAGGTCAAATATCATATCCTATTCCATTCTACTTGATTATTATTAATATTCTATGACTAGAAAAAGTTAAAAATTTATGAGCTTTTTAATTATTCTGGAAGATCATATCTTAACAATTCTAAATTGCATTAAAATAATTGGAAAAGTGTATTAAAGCATAAAAAGTGGTATTAAATACAAAATTCATTAATAAAATTTGGCAAAAAATATTTGGAATATAACACCAATAAACAGAAAAATTTTTTTCTTTAATTAAGCATTGGGAAATTAATTCATTGCACAAAAAGCTTCATGCTTTTTGTTATTAACCTGCAATGAATTAAATGTTAATCAACGAAAAAAAATTCTTTTATTTCAAACAAAAATTCATCACTCAAGCAGCTTTTGAAATAAATTTTTCAATATTTGATGCAAAAAATTTGAATTTGTCAATTTTTGAATTAAAACTAAAATACAACAAATTGAGCGGTTATGTCTCATTTTATTTGTCACCTTACTTTCCCGATGAATTTTTTTGTTTCATCGCAAAAGAGTGGTATAATTCTCAGCACAAAGGAACAGATACGATCGAGATTATATGATTTTGTAAGTTTTAAAATAAGAACTACCAGATGATTCGAGATGAAGCTCAATTCGATTAATTGCCTAATCAATCTAATTTAACACTTAATTATATTTTATATTGATTCCTGAAGCTCATTTGTGTTATAAGCGAAGAGATTTCAATATGCTTATTGTATTTCCACTTAATTTCATTTCATGAAGTAAATTTTATCTGTTCAAGATTATTTTATTCATATAATTTTTCTAATTTATTACTATCTATAGGCTTCTAATGATTCATCTAAAATTTCTGTCTAAATATTTTACATCAAGCTCTGAAACCATCAATAGTTCAGTATTATGAGAAAAGGATAAATTGACAGTTATTGGATCAAAATTGATGAATTTTATGGACTGAATGAATTCGACTAAATTATAAATTGATTACGGTTAATTTTTATAAAATTATTGATGATGATGATATCCTTACTGGAGTATTTATGGAATGAAATGAAATATGATGAAAGTACAAACTCGGCAGATAAAAAGGATTTCATAGATTAGAAATAGGAATAGTTCGGAGAAGTGAAAAAAAAAGGAAAGAAAGAAATGCAATTTTCAGTTTGTTATGATGAATTTGAACCATGCATAAACGCAGTAATCAACTCAAACTGAAATTTATTTTTCTGACTGTTAGCTTGCACTAAGCACTCTTTCAAAGAAGTTTATGTAAAAAGCTGATCATTAATGTAATTTTCTACTAAATATATTTGATATTCACAGTGCAATGTTCTCATATTTAATAATAATTCCACATTTTATTAAAGCCATAATTTAAAGCATTTAAGAGATTCATTGAATTCTTAAAAAAAGCAAATATAAAATGTGTTTTTTTTCGGTTTTGGAATGGAAGTACAAATAATTTTAAAAGGCCAGAAACTAAATGCACTTATTTCTTGACCGTATTCATAATCATAAATTTTGCTAACGAATTGTAAATTTAACAATGATTAATTTTAGTTTGAAAATTATTTTTCATTGGCAAGATGAAAAAATTCAAAAACTTCATTCATGCAACGTGTCAAATTTGGTAATAATAATAATGATAAATTGAAAAAGTTTAAAACAAAATTAGCTATGTGAATCTTAATGTTTGTAGTATTTTTTGGTGCGCATAATTTATTTTTATAGATTTTAATTGAAATTCTATCGCAAGCAAAATAGCAACAAATTTTTGTTTTTTTTTTATTTTTTCCATGTGAAATCAATATCAGAAATGCAATACGTACAAACAAGTTTAACTTTTTTAGTTGTAACAATTTCTTGATCCAAAAATTTTATATATTATTACAGATGTGAAATCATAAGTTTTATTAGTGATGCATTAATTAATTATATATAACAGTGAATTGAAATATACTGTAAAGATTATTAATTGCGCAAAATTCGTCATTTCTCATTTATATGTATTAATTTTCTTAAGGAATTCATTTGGAAATAATCTGTTTAAAAAAGAAGTACAAAAAAAAATGATTTGACAACGAACAAATTTGCATTTGACTTAGATTAAATTTAAGGCATCTGAATCAATAAATTCATTTGGTGCAACACACAAAATGGTAAATGAATTTTTTTTCTCATCAATTAATCATTAAAAAAAAGAAGAGAAAAGGAGAGAGGGAGGGAGAGAGAGGAAGAGTGAAAATAGAGAAAATGAAAATCAGCTAACAATAAGCATTTTTACTAAACTTAATGAAAGCTCTGAATAACTGATGAGTAAACACATATGGCACACTTCATTAATCCACTCATATATTTGCTTAACAAATTGCGCACTTTCATCAATAGTTGATCAGAAATTGTGCTTTCGATTGAAAAATTGCAACGAGTAATAATGGAATCTCTTTTTGATTCAATTATATTCATCGATTTAGAAAATCAAAAATACATAAATCAAAAAATTTCAACAAATATTAACCATTTTTTTGTGAAAAGAACAAAATTAAAAATGAAATTTATGCATAACCTTTTAGATATAATGTGAAATTACATTTTAAAACATTATCTTCATTTATCAGTAAAAGATTAGTTTAATTCTATTACTAATTATTATCTTTTAAGAGATTATAAATCGATTAGCAACTTTATTTGTCAAATAAGTAACGGCAGCACACTATTGACACAAAAGAGAACGAAGATGAAGGTGGAAAAGGGAAAATGAGGAGGAAGAAGAGGGAAGGGCGAGAAAATTTTAGTCAATAAAAAATTTAATTAACTGTTTCGTTGTATTGCATTGTTTTAGCATGTTAAAGTTTTATGGAATATATTGATTACAAATGAATTTTTTCAAGTGTAATATTCCACTGGAAGCTTAGCTAAATAGACTAATTTAGCCGATAAAACATTTATTTCCGTTCCTTTTAATTCCCCAATCCATTCTTATCAAACGAGCAAAATGACGAAGAAGAAAAATTTGTTTAGCCAAATGAAAAAAAAGGAACTTTGTTTTTTTTTTTCTTTTTTTTGTTCCTTTTTCTCATCATTCATAAGATAAACGAATAAAATCATCAATAAAATATTCTTTTTTTTTTTTAAATTTATCTTTATTAAAAGGGTTGAAGATGCTAAGTAGATAATGTTACATCTGCCTTAATCACTTCACATCTATTATCACCAGTTATCGTCTATTGAATAAATTATCAAATACTAAGCTTTTTCCACCATATCATATTCTCCGCTTTATTGTATTGCATTTTTTTTTGTGTGTCACCCATCTTCTTCTTGTCTTTCCTTGTTCTAAAAAATTATATTTGAATGGAATGAATTAATAACTCACTTTTCAATCTTTTTTTTCTCCATTGAGAAATGCAAATTATGGATGGAGAGGATCAGAATGTTTTTCATTATTGTTTTACAGAAATTAGAAGTAAAATTATTTATTTTTGATTATTGATTTAATCAATTTAAATGCTCTGTGAAATATTTTTTTGATATTTGTTAAATATGATAACATATATGGAATGAATGGATGTTTTTTCCAACCAACTTATCTCTTGTTTAATTAATTAACTGATCAAATATACTGAAATAATAAAATAATGTTATTGTGTGGGTGAAAAAAACACGCATAAAATTATTGATTTTGAAAAATTTTTTTTAATCGTAAAATTGATTTCTTTTAGGAAATGTTTTTATGAGCATTCTAAATATACTATTATGATCAATATTTCTTGGCTTAATGGAAATTCCCGTTAGAAAGTGCCCGAAAGGATTTTTGATAATTCACTGATTCAAATTAATAATACCAGTTATGGGAGTATATGTATGTAAATATGTGTTTTTGGCTTAAAAGATTTCCATTAGTACTTTTTTAGTAATCAATTGGGAAAATTTATGGACTTAAGGAATTTCAAAATTGCATTTCTCCAGAATTTATGCTAACATGCCTTTCAATTTTCTTTCTTTTTTAGGTTAAAAAAATGAAACATAGTTCTTAAAATATTCTATATTTTCATAACAAAGACAATAAAAACTGTTGGTTGTCTAATATATACAAATTGATACTTTAACTAATCAATATAACTTTTTTTTAATAAAAAAAATTTAATGATAATATTAATAATAAAGTGGGATGAAAAGAAAATAGTGTTACAAAAATTTTGAAATGCAAAAAAAAGAAATGATACTTGCTGATAGTTCAATATCATTTTCATATAAACAATAGATAAAATGATAGATCGTGTGAGATGAAATTGAAATAATCATAATTTAAGAAATATGAAAGTTTGATTTAATTATGCATTGCAATTCGATTTCATCATCACCTGTTTTTAAGAGCAGTGAAGAATAGATTAGGGCAAAAAGAAAGCATCGAAATATCGACTTTTTCATAAATCACTTTCTCACTCCTCAATCCTTCAAATGACATCATTTCTTTTAAAATGTTATATATGACTTTATAAATCTAATAGATACATTTTTTTTAAAATTGAACTTTTTCATTGAATTTAATCAGACAAGAAAAAAAAGACATCATTTTATGATGGAGATGAAATGATTCATGTTGAAAATTAAATAAACTTCAGCATTAATCTTCATCAACTTCAGAGATGCAAAGAAGAAAAGGAAAAAAAGACTGATCAAATGGCATAATTTAGCAAAATTCACGAAATAAAATTCAAAATTCCGTCGGGAATTCAAGAAAACCAAAGCTATAATTTTCGATTGATTAGCTTACTTAAAATTTCATTCAGTTATCAGTCATAAAAGATTAATAAAAGTAAACTGATAAAGTGATTGCTAAAAGAAAAAAGAAAATTTTCGTAACAAAATGAATGGAAAAATGTAAGTGAAAGAATAATGAAGTAAAAATGTAGCAAAAAGTAAAAGAAGGAAGAAGATCCGATTAGTATAGATATCATCTTGCCAAGGGCCTTGGTTTCTACATTGGGCCATGGAGCCATGATAGAAATGGTTCGAAGATACCAGGAAAACATATGTCAATTTGTGTTTTCCAGCAGGGTCTCTGTCATTTTATTGCCCATACGTAAACTGCAAATTCGATAGTAACAACAGAAGATGATAGGCTTAGGCTTGTCTAAGGCTTAGCTGAAAATGTGTCTGTCTTGGTCTCCTATGTTAATACTAATATATGTTCGTCGTCGTACTTCAATTCTGTCAGAATAACACCATCATTGCACTTATAAATTCACCATACACTCATTCAGCTCGAAATATGAATGAGGCCTTTCCTACTTCATAGTTATATGCACTTAATAAGCGCATTCAATTCACACTTCTAAAAATTTTCCACTAATTAGACAATTTTAAACAATCAGACGAAAACAACAAGATTTTAAAAAAACACAAAATCTATTTAAAGCATTCTCTTAAATATATGAGTTGAATTCATAAGCTTAAAAACTAAAAATGGAATGTAAATCGTTTAAACTTGCTAATAAATTTAAAAAAATTTAATGATTTTACTGGGCCAGGCCATTATTAAAATGATGTTGAAGTGAGCAATATATGGCAAATAAAGCAAGCATTTTGAAAGAGATAGAAAAGAATAATTACAAATAAACAACATTTAATAATTTAAATAATCGAAGAATGATTAATAATTTAAATAATGGAAAAAATGGTTAAATTATTTGTAGTTGTAATAGACAACAGCCATATAGGCCTTTCACCATCTATTGACTTTTTTCCTAAGCTAAAATTTCTCATACATACCCCAAATAAGCGCATTCGATTCATCAACAACAGATTGAAGTAAATATATATATATATATTTGATATAAAGAAATTTAATTAGCTTAGAAATCTCTTCATGTTAATGCCAGTTTATATGAATGTTTATGCAAATGATTATAAATGACTCTTTTATAAGTTAATTTGCAATAGCAACAAAATGATCGGATGTTCATTTGCAAAAAGGTTTTTGAATTCAACGATTTATCATTCAACCAATTGTATCATTTCATTGATAAATTATTCGTCTGTGCATGGATAATTAATAATCAGAAAATGCTACAATAATTTTTTTTTCGATAGTAGTTTTAATTGATACTTAGTTGTCATTAAACAAAATTATTAAGCATAGACTAATTAAGGCATGTACCCTCAAAAGAAGAAAAGAAAATAATGAATTAATAAGTTAAAAAATGGAATAGGAATAAAAATCATTAACACAAAAACAGAGAATTTATATGCAAATCCAATTTTGAAAAATCATTTTTGTGGAATAATAAATTTGTTCTTTGATATTTCATAATAAAAGTGAAAAAAACCCCACTGATATCTTAAAGTTATCAATTATGTTATAGTCAAAAAAATCCTTTTCAAATCTAAAACGAACCAATAACTTTTTGCAGCATATTCTTTAAGAGGAAAGCTTTGGAATGATTAGTGAAAGTTGGCTTTCTTTACTGGTAGAGATTTTCTTTTTTGATGTTATCAGAGTTTTATCACCAAATGATAGTTGTTAGTTCAAGGAAGTGTGGTTTGGGACTAGTTGAAGTAGTAGGCTAGAAGAGATTCGCTTGGATGTAGGTGATAGTAGTGTAACATAATTTTAAAACATCTGAAGATAATTTTTATTGCTGAATATGATAATATTCATATTTTAGCAATAAAAATTGATAATATGATAAGTGGTATGATAATATGATAGTATGAATATGATGATATGATAAATAAAGAAATAACTTAAAACTTTGGAAATAATTGTTTCAAATTTTTAAGTGAATGTTAAATAAATTACAATTTCAAGCAAACGAGCAAGATTTTTTATAATTGCAACTATAAATCACTTACTTACTTGGTAATATTTTAGATAATAATTTCTGCAAAATGCTTTCATGAATTTTGCAAATTTTATATTATAAAATTATTTCGGGTTTCTGACAGTATATTCTTCCATTAGTGAACACAGAAATAGATTTTTGTTAAATTGCAAGTAGTGAAATTACGGGTAATGCTATATGTAAGAAATATTTTGAATTATAATCAACATATCCTTCAATGTATAAAATCATCATTATTAATGAAAGATTAGATTTCAATATTACACCATATATTATTTGTTAGCAGACGATAAATGAATGATGTTTACTGAATAAGAAATGAACTTTAATTGAAAATATTGTTGAACTTCTGAAATTAGTTTATGATCATTGAAGAATTGCCATAAAATATGGAAGCAATTAATTTTAGCTTTCCTATAAGTTATTTGTCAGAATTTCATAAATAACCTTCTATTTTTATAGCTCATTTTCTGTTCAGGGAATTAATTGCTGTTATTCGATTCTGGCGAAGAGGTAAAGGAATGTTTAAATTTCTGGAAAGCATAACTTCATTAAGAATTTTTTTCTAATAAAATAATGGAATTCGAGAAGTCGACCGAATGATGCTGAAGCAATTATTACTTAATTTATACATCTGCTTTTTCTTTTTTTTATAAAATTCTTCTATAGTTTTTTTGAGGAAAATAAAAGGCTTTCAGGAGAGAAGAAGAAAGAAAAAGATAGAATCGAACTGAAATGATAACAAACTGAAATGATTATTTAATATTAATATAAGTAAGAAAAGAAAAGAAAATGAACAGATTTCATGAGAAATTTCACATTTTAAAATACTAATAACACAAAGTGTAAAATTAATTTGACAAAAAATCATAAATTTTGTATTGTCTTGATGTTACTCTTCGAGTAATTAAAAAATTTTTTAAAAAATGTGTACAGTGAAAAATTTAAAGTGGAAAATTTTAATGATTCATTCTTACATCGCAGATTAGTTTTATGTTGTTTATTTCTACAATTTACAAATCTGGAACATTTTTTAAATAAACTTGGAAAACAATTTTTTTTGGTTATTAGAAACATCAATATTGTTTTAATACAGGTTAAAATTAATCAACATTGATTGATGAAAAAATAGAGATGGAAAAGAAAAATAGCTTAGTCATAAGGGAGAAATTAATTGTCAGTTTTCGTTTTTCTTAACTATTTTATAAGCCTTACAAACAAAGTAAATGTTCTCGATGTTCCTCGAAACTTTAGTAATATCAATAACAAATGTTAACACATTTTTTACCACATCAGAACTTCTACTTTGTCATGGAAGAATTTTTTTTTTTTCCTTCAATTCCAGCCGAATTATGGAATTCCATAATTATGGAATTATGGAATTCCATAATTCAGCTGGAATTGAAATTTCATTTTTTGCTCATTTTGTAAGTACAATCAGTTTTAGTCAAGTTTTGAAAATTCATTTATGCAAATGTTTTTGAGGCCTTGCTTTTGTTGCGGGTTAAGTTGTTGCAATAGTAATCAATTCAAATTTCATCCACTGCTGTTGGTGCAACCTTAAAAATCATTTAAGAAAATGAAAGTATCATGCAGCACTAGCGGCAGAATTAGTCAAGCACTCTCAAACATGATTATAAATCAGTATTGACATTAGTTGGAATTGAAACCAGGAATCCGTTATTTTTGTTAAAACATTGAATCCAGATTCTCATGCGTCAATATCTCTATTACTTATTACTTATAATTATGGGTCGGAGTCCTTCTGGGCCAGTGTCATCACTAGGTATAGTTCTGAATCGCGATTCTCTTGCACCAGTATCTTCATCAGTTATAACTTTGAATAAGGATCCGATAGGTCACTGTGATTACTAGTCACAGTTTCAAGCGAGAATCTATTATTTCCTGCTAAAGCATCGGATCAGAATCCTCTCGGACCAGTATCTGCATTAGTTATGCCTCTTGATCGAGATCGGCCTAATCACAGTTCAATTCGTTTTGCAGAAGCATTGGATCTTTTTCTTCATTGATAGTTGAGCTGTTCGATTTCTGGCTGGTCATTCCCGATGAGTGATATCGATTAAAGCTGATCGAGACGGTCACTAACTGATGCACTTCTAAGTGTTTAAAAATTTGTAACATTACTCACTCAGTACATAAGCAGTACTTGAATTTGAAGCATTAGTGAATTCAACAATTGGAATTTTGCTTCCGTCACTGCTCCAAATGATCCATTTATACATATTCATTAAGTTCACTTGTTTTACGGAATGTTTCATTGTCACAAATGTTCATTGTCAAATGTACACACGTGATATGCATGATCTAAATGGTACCATCAGAGACAAAGAAATTAATTGTATCTTGTACGAAAAAATAGCAAGTGTTACGTGTAACATTTCATTTCGGCTTATTTCGATTTCAGTTTACTTTTCAATTTGGAAACTTGCAGCACTGCATATGAAGCGATTACTTGTTGGCAATGATCATAAAGATGTCGGAACTGATAGAAGCGAAATGATAAGAAAGTTAAATCAATGATAACGTATGCGAAGCGAATCATTCATCATATCAGACTCAATCCCGTATTTGGCAATAAAATTGTGCTAAATGACAGCCCAATTCTTATTGTCATTTACAGAATTGTTATTGATTGTTTCGAATTTTGATAATTGCCCATCTCTGATTTACTTAACCATAACACACTACAATTTTGTTATTCCGTGATCGAACATTGATCTCTTCGAAGTCTAATTTTATTGAACTTGACCCTACTATTGCGTTAACTGTATTACTTTTAACGCAATTGCTAACATCCCTATCATATAAATACTTAAGTGATGGTAATTTTCAAAGAAAAGAGCCACCTATTGCAAATTAGTCTTGCAATATTTACTTGACATATGCAAATTAGTATATGCAATGTAGCATTTCCGATTGATGCATTCGTTGATCTTCAATTAACTGTAATGAATTAGTGAAATGATTGATATAAAATCAATAGATCGTTTGATCTTTTTGGTAAACTGAATATACGTGATTTATCATATATTGCCAAAAAAAATTTACATTCAAATATAATCGGTTTAATAAATGAAAAAATTCAAATCGTTGGAATGTCAATGCATATATGAGTAGGTGGTGTGACCTGCAAAACTTATCATCAAAATAGATGTGAAAGGAAGAAAAAAAAACAGAATGATTTATCAAAACATGAAATGAACAATAAATCAATGGCGATGCGAAAAATAGAAATTGTAATTAAAAACATTTTCAACATAACAATATTCGGATCCTGCACTGAAACGGTAATTTATTAAACTTACATGAAAGAAAAAGAAGATTTAAATGAAGTGCAAGTTCCGACAATGATAAGATAATAATCAGTTAATAGGCTAGCTTGAAACATTGCAAATATGAATCATTTTATGTATCACTTCATTATAAATATATTGAAAGTTATTGGAAGTGCAATTCGTTTTATTCTTATTCTCTGAGGTAAGTATAAGTTCGAAATCAAAATATGTATAATAATAATAAAATCAAAATATATATAATGATAATAACAATACAGAAAATAAATGAAACTTATAGCTTTTAAGAAATTTATCCTAAACGTTTTAATACTGTGGAATTAATCAAAAGGGTGGCATTTAGTTCAAATATGGTACGATATATTTTTCGGGAACAAAAAAATACTAATAAAGACAATGTTTTACATTTACGAAGGATCAAATATGCTTTATCTTGGCATGCATTAGTTCCATTATTGGAAAACATGCAATAGTGAAAAATTATATTTTTCTTATAAATAAGATTGGCTTCGAAGTTATTGTAATTTGAAAATATCTTTTCAAAAGCTAATTTCAAACCATATGTAAAATGAATTGGATTTGAAGCCATATGTGATAGATTTGTTGTGTAAAAAGTGTTTATTGCAGAAATTAATATTCAGCTCACTTAAACAGTTCTTGTCACTGGGATACCATGTAGATGCACATCAATCCAAGCCCGTTGAAGTTGACGATAAAAAGTAGCAATACTGGCAAAAAATGTTTCGGGAATTTCTGGACCAATATCTTCGTCTACTAATTCACCAAAGAAACGCAACGTTTTGCAGAGAACGATCTGCAATATCATATTTTATACTTACTTTTGCATGATACTTATACTTATTTTATCTCATTTTAAATAAAAATGAAAAAAGTAAAAATGAGAACCTTGCACTCACGATAGCTATCCTTCACTTCCATTACTTTATTTCTGATCACTTCTCTATATCCAGCAATCTGTCCTTTATCATCCAAACGACTCGCTTCTCGATCAAATCGCAAATAGTCCCGTTCGAGACGTCGTACTGTTGCAGAAAGCTCTTGGAAGTTCACTGATCACAAAACCAAAAATGATTTTTAGGTTGAAATAATATTAGCTTTTAAAGCAAAAATTTATGGTACATTTCATTGCTTATATTTGTTCAAATCTTCTTTAGAAAATAAAATCCTTAAAAATTCTCATATATTTGTATATTTCACATTAAAAAATCTAAATTGTCCAAAATGGACAATCGGAAAGAAAATTAATTAATTGAAAGAACTTCACATGATATACTACAAACACATTCCCACTATTAATAGCCGTAATCAGTTAGTGATAAGTGAAAGTAAGTAAATAACCTCGTGAAGCTCTCTCCAGCGCCGGAAGAGTATCACGAAAAATACAGACTTCGGGAAATTCCGAAATAGTAGATGACGCTACAATATTTAGTAATGTTGTTTTTGGTGAGTTACACACTTCTGTTGCACAAATCTGCAAAACTACCACGTCAAAATACCAATGTAAAATTAGCATTATATGAGTAAAAAAAAATTAATGCAGCGACAGCAAGAGCAAACGAACTTTTGTGAGATCTGATGCCCTGAAGCCTCGAATTGTTCTCGCTGTAAAATCACCAATGATAAAGTTCATGAAGACAAGGACAACACGTAATAGAGCACGAAATCCACGATTTTTCTTCAGAACTTTCACAATATTAGTGAGATCCTCGAAACTCTAAAATGAAACAACTGAATAGAAATCCTTCAAAACTCTATAAATTTCTCTTCCAATTCTTAGCTTAACTAAATTTTTTTTCAAATGAATGTTTTAACGTACATGCATAGTGATATTTAATTGAAGAATTTTTTGAGTTTGCATCAATTCTTCTAAACTAAAAAAGAACTAACTTTTAGGATCTCGGTGACACGACTGTTAATATGTCCCATGAATGACATCGCATGTAACTTTTCGTCTATTCGATCAATTTTTGCAAGCTGAATTACGCTATTCATTGTTTCGAAAATATTTGACGAAATTTTTCTACTGGGAAAATTAACACTCAGTTCTCTTTTTTATTAAAAATTAATCAGTGCTTTAACTGATTGGTAGCAAAGATATTTCTATTAATAGTATAGAAAAGTAAAATTCAATAAAGCCACTGAAAAAAAATATTATAAAATGCTATCTGCTTAAAATCAGATACTTTCTTGATTTTTGATTAGATGCAACTTCAATTCTCATCTAATAATAAAAATATTCTTTTAACCTTTAATAGGAATTGTTCATTTTCTCCAATTAGTGCAGTAGGATTAGCACTTTCACAATCCAACAAATAAAATACATCCATCGAAGTTGGCGCAATATTTGCAATCAAATCGACTTGTTCTATCGATAAGGTGTTTAAATCCAAGCTGAATAATAAATTTCAAGATTTTATCGTATATACAGTAAGATAAAGGAGAGGTTAGAAAAGAAAATCGATGAGGTCCCCTTCCATAATATTAATCGAGAATAGGTAAGTGTCTTCATTGTCGATGAATATCGTTACCGTGATGCAATTTCTCAAAATGCAGCAGAGTGGATGACCATCAACTGTCGCGAAAGTTGCGAAATTTCAAGAATATTATAAATGATCAAGTGTTTATATATATATATATATATATTCATAGATGTAATACTGTCCTACCACATGTTCATACATGTCAATTATAATGTTCCTGTTTAAACCAATAGCACAGTCAAATGATTCATTCTTGTACTTGCATATTCGTTCCCATCCTTGCCTCCAATTATTGTATTACATGATCTCCCTTGCTCTTCTACCCTCCAATATCTCTCATTTTCCCGCGTTATGATATGCACGTATACTTTGCCTATATAAGACATCAAATATTCATTCATT